CCCTTATCCTGAAAAAAGATCTACTCAAAATCTGAAATTTGGGGATAAGGCCAAAAATCTTAGGCCTTGTTTGGTTCAAAATTAAAGATGTCCTATGTTCAGAATCAGAATCATCCATTTCACCGCTTGTTTGGTTCAAACGGGAGTCAGAATCAGATTTTACAAGGAGGGTTCCTGAGTCAATTGTCTTTTTTTGGCTGATTGGAAAGAAACTCTCATCCATAATGGAAGAGGTTGAATGCCCATTTCCTCTTATCGAGAATTTCCATTCTACCAGAAATAGGAATCAAAATCCTATTATGGTTCAGATTCTAGACCTCTATTCCCATGAACTAAATGAACCCTTAATTAATCAATGACGGATAGGTTTAGGACAAGTTGGAGTGGTTCTTGTTTCTTTATGGAATCCTTTTCATTTACCGATTCTGATGAGGGGTGATTTTGCATGACTTATTAAGAAGGGGACATGTAGACGCGACCTACTTGAGGGGTGACAATTCAGCCAAGTGAACCCATTTCGCAACATTCGGAACTCGGGTATCCAGTCACCTCGTCCTACAAAACCACCTCGGCGTCGAGACACATCGACACCCAATACAATTTGGGAAAAAGAATCAAAGTGCCAATTCGGAGCTAATGATCCGAAACGCCACATAACCGACTCCAAAGGCCTTCCCAACAGACCCCGAATTTCTCGAGATCACGATGAGAACTCGTCCTGGCGCCGCCTGAATCAGAGGTAAACGATAAACCTTATCAACATATTACTCTCCTTAAAAAACGGTACAAACCTTATCTGTATAGCCCGGATATCCCGGAGCTCTTTCATAAGGCCCACAACTAATCCATTATATAAGTACAAAAACCTCTAAGGCAAAGGTACGCATGATTATTTTACTCACTATCATTCAAGCATTCAAGATTCAGCTCGCATTTATAGTAAAAGTATTGATTTAAGCATCGAAGCAACCTCGCCAGGTCAACTACCCCAGGTTATTTGATCTACTATTCTACAGATCGGTCCAACTCACCACCCAACCAGAGTTCAAGTTGTCTTCCAGCTAGGAGTATTTAGATCGCACACCATCAGATTCCATTCCCAAAGGAAGAGGTTGAACGGTCATTTCCTCATATGGAGAAATGTCATTTTACCAGAAATAGGAATCAAAATCCTACTATGATTCCGATTCTAAACTTCTATTCCCGTGAACGAAATGGACCATTAATCAATCGTGGGTAAGTTTAAACAGGACAAGGTTTGTCATCCTCTTTCTTACTAACGGATTTCATTCCCAAATGAAGAAGCTAAATGGCCATTTTCTCAAAACGAGAAATGCCCATTCTACTAGAAATAGGAATCAAAATCATATTACCACTTCGATTCTAGACCCCTATTCTCATCAACCAAACGAACCGTTAATCAATGATGAATAGGTTTAAAGGGGACAAGGTGGAGTGAGTATTGCCCCAAGGATCAGCCTTGCTCAATTGAATTCAAGGAAGAAAGTGAGGGAGCAGTGATAGTTAATAATGGGTCCGTGGTAATACGGGCACTGCCATGTGCCATCAACAACCCAGTGTGCACATGGAATTAATTACCAAACACGTGAACCCCTTACGCTATTACATCCCAATACGGATACCACTGTACCATGCAGTCATTCAGTCTTGGCCCTGTTTGGTTCGTAGGAATAGAGGTTTGGAATCGACATAAGAATAGATTATTCCGGTTCCAACTGTTTGGTTGAATAGAATTAGAATTCTATTTTTATTCTGTTAGATTGGAGGAATGCCATTCCATTATAAATAAGAATGGAATTCCAATTCTATTCAACAAAATTGTTGGAATCAAAATGATTCTAATTCCAACTCTGATTCTAGACCTCCATTCTTACAAATCAAACATATCCTAAAAATACTTGATAAAATAGGGATGTAAACTACTAAACTTGGTTGGCTGGAAGCCAGGAACAGTAAAAACAAAATACGAAGAATATTACCATGCTGGTGCTATCCTTGGTGTTGGTGGTAGCAAAACAAAGCAATGCTTATGATAGGTTATTCTCCGAAGCAGAGGTGGGTGGGAGTATCTGGATTCATGGCAACAGCATAAAAACATAAAGAATATTTTGGAAAGAAGAAGGGATAAGGGATTTAGGCTCCCATCTGGGTGGCAGGGAGTAGGAATCTTGCATACATTTGTTGTTGTAGCCTTGTGGGTAGGTAAGGTGTACACGAAAGACAAAGAAGGGTACCTTGTTTTCATATATAAGACACATGTCACATTTCTCATCTACCTATCTCTCCATATCTCAGGACTTGTGATTTTCACACCTTACAAACTATAAAGAAGAAAAAAAGGATAGGCTCCCAAGGGATCAGGGTACGTAGATCAGAAAGAATCAGTCCAAACAGACCCTATTTATATAAGATGTGGATATGTATTATGTATTTTTATAAAAGATTAATGGGAAAATCTATGACGTGGGAAAGACATTGTAAATGAAGAGTTTTGACCAATCAAAATTTATGCATAAATTTTGATAAATAACACCTGATTAGCTATATATGATTTTAGTTGACTGATCAGACATTTTTCAGATATCATATTTTTTCCATATCGTTCGATTATGATATGGAAAAAAAAAACCAAGATACAAAATGTTTCCCTTTGAGATACTTAACCCTCCTAAATACAAATAAAAAACATGGGAACAAGAACTGCAAAACTTTAATTCCTTTTTACAACTATCACTAGTACCTAAGGCAGTGCCCCAATTAGCAAGGGAATCCACTAACTTATTTGCCTTCTTGTGAGACAACATTGGTTGTTTGAAAAAAAAAAGGACTATTTAAGTTTCATGTGCCCTACACATTAGCATGGGTGTGAGATAAAAATAGTAATTGCAATCAATTTTCTTTTAATTAAAAGGGCAAACAAGGTACCAAGTATTAACTTGTTATATGTAGGAATATGTCAATGGGTCAAGTTAAATGATAAACCCACCTTGATCTTTAGGGTCAGGTATATTTAGGTTTAGAGTCGGATTATGATTTTGATCCTTTAACCCGAGTTAAGTTTGTAATGGTTCAAAGTTTGGCCGACTCCCTATGCTAGGTCATGAAAATGTATTGTATTGTAAAAAATACAATTGAATGGTTGTAGGTCAAACTGGGTTGGTATCGAGCTGAACCCTATAAGATTGGGTCAGGTTGAATCGGGTCAAGTGGAGATATTGGAAGATCAGTTTAGGGTTGAGACCAATCCCTACCCAACCCGACCCATTGACATAAAGCCCCCAAATAGACAAACTTTTGCCACTCTAATACCTATTATTTCTCCTGTATACATGTAATATTATCATATTATCATCTCCAAATGTCAATTGAAAAAATAGTTGGAATTTTATCTTTTAAAGAAAATTAAGAATCCATTTGATTTGTAGTTGGAATTAGAATTGGAATGGTCCATTCCTATAATCTGTTTGGTCAACAAGAATAGAAATAGAAATTAAAATCAGCAGGAATGAGATTTCATTCCCCAGGGAGGGGCAGGGAATGGCCATTCCCTCAAATGGGGGAATGTCATTCCAGCAGGAATAAGAATGGGATTCCAATTCCGTCCAACCAAACAGTTGGAATCGGAATAGCCCATTCCGATTCCGTTTCCAAACCCCTATTCCTGCGAACTAAATGGGGCCTAATAATTGGATTTTTTTTTCCATTCAAGTACCATTGATTATTAATAAAAATCGTTTCAATCCCGAATAATTTCTAACCCAGACTAGACCCATTTTGTTGAGATCGGCTTCTATCAGGGCAAAGCTGTGCCCACACTGTTCTAACAACCTTTTTCACCCTTGCATTGAGAATATCTCCCCATGAAATAAAGAACACAATTACAGAGATATTCTCAATACAAGGCAATAGAGGGTGCTCCAACTGGCTTTGCCCTAACTGAAGCCAAACTCCATTTCGTTCACACTTAATAGTAGTGTTTTCAAACCATTACTGACCTAGATGATCGGATTATTCAACCCAAGAACTGTTAAAACAACCGTTTTTATTTCACCCTTAACCTAGTTTTTGGCCACGTTGATTTAGTCAGCAACCTGCTGACCTGAACAGTCAAACCTTTAACACGTTTGACCCCGACAACGGCTTTTTATTTTAATTTTTTTAAGTTAAAACATGCCATTCATTCGAATCAAATTGTAAAGCCGCTACTCGAAAACCGGTGGCCAAAACGGTGTCAATTACGGATCGGTTTTCAAAACCTTGATCACGATATAAACGGGTTTATTTTCCTTGGAAGGCTCTGGGTTGTGGTCACATGGATCGATGCCAACTACCCAGCAACTGGAATCAGTGAAAACAGAAAACTGAAAAGTGGGGCCACCTGCTAGGCTGCTATACGTCCAAACTACTACCATTCACCCTTCAACTGTAGAAAACATATCCAAACAACCCCACTCTCAGTCACTCACCGTCACCCCTCCCCTCATATCGGAAATCAGTTTAGTCTAGGCTTACACCGGCTTCCTAGCTAGGGGACAAATTGCATCTCCGACGTACTTTCACGGAGAGACGGAGAGCGTCAACATCAATTGCTTCACGTCAACCCAAGAGAGTTTAGACACAGAGAGAGAAGAAAATAAATGCTACTCGTGGTCGCCACATCTAATCTCCCTACTCTGTTTTCCTTTCTTCTCTCTTTCTCTGATCTCGAAGCTTTTTACTGTTCTGAGTCTTTGTCGCTACTTTCCCTCTCGCTGACCGCCAAAGACAGCATTTCGTCTTGCCCTTCATTTGCAGGGCGGGAAAAACTAGAAATAACATAAAATAATGAACACAGCCAGAACAGAAGAGTTGGATTTCTCATTGGACATTTTTGTTTTGGACTTCGGATTCCTTTTCTTTTGCCATTTAAAATCTCAAATCGGCAAATCCCCTTTTTCTTGTTTAAGTTCAGATGTTAGATCTTTGGTTCGAGGCAAGAGTTGAGCAAAAAGGATCAAAATTCCAGACTACACGAGTTACTTGATTTCCAATGTGAGCACTCTGCTTACACGGATTCGAAGATATAAAAATATCTTCACATACATAGATCACTTTACAGTAAGAGACTAGTCAACTAGAAATCTACAGAATGATCAGATCAACCCACATTACTAATTAACTCCCATATCCTAATCCTACTATTTTTCATCTTCTTTTTTACAAAATTTAAACAGAAAACAGGACCTAGATAACCGATTCACTATTCTGTTTCTCTGGTTCGAGCTCCTTTCACGCCCCCCACTCAGAGCTGAAGATGGTTCCAGGATTTTACACGAGAGCTTCAACTGCGACTGTCATTTCCCTCGGAAGAGTTTTTCGATGGGCAAATGGACTTCTCATGTGATGGGTCGCTCGCAGACCGCGAAAGAAGAGTATGGTCCGAATCTGAGAAACAGAAGGTCAAGAGTTTGTAATGCAATCAAGAGACTAGTAAGTATGCAAAGAATAAGTTCGAAAAAAGGATGAAGCTTTTACAATGTAGACCAGATCTTTACCTTTAGAAGCATTGAACGATCTCTTGCAATGAAGAATAGCGCTCTGGATCCCGTCCTGCTGCTGTAACAGTGAATCATCCCGTCTCCTTGACTGGGACGCCACTGGCTTTATGGCGGCGACCGCCGAAGACGCTGACCGGCTTTTTCCTAGGTGCTTACGAACCACTCGCAAGCCCGCCGGTATATTCACCTGTTTATGAAGCAGGGGCTTGGCATTATTACTCGTGGGTGCCTCGGCCTCCTCTGCTTCTCCGTGATTGTTGTTTGCCGTCGTGGGAGACGACACCGGTGTTTCCATCTTCGTTTCCGCCGCCACCGGCGACGATGCTGCCTTTCCCGAGCCCAAGCTTAGATGTCCAGAAAATCTAATCTTCTCTCCGTACCTCCTCGACACCCTAATGTAGAGCGGCTTGATCATCTTCAGATATTTCTGCACCATATCTTTGGAAAAGCGCTTGTCGTCCGTGGCTGTCTCGTCAGAGTTTTGCTTCTGTTGTTTATTAGCAGAGCTTCTGGAACTACCATCCCTAGTGAACAGGGAAATTATGGGGACCTCTTCGACTTTGAATTTTACAGTAAAAAGTTTGCTGTGGTGATGATTATCCTGCTGCTGCTTCTGTTGCTGTTGTGTATCAGGTTGCTGGTCCTCTGGAGAAGTCATATTGGCCTCATTAGTCTCCGTCTTCTCTGTTGTTGTCGTTGTCGTCGTCGTCGTTGACGTCGGTTTTGGTTTCTTGAAGCCCAACATAAAGACGCGAAACTTGGTAGCCGACTTGAGCAAGGAGACGGGGAACTGATGCTTGGAGTTGGGCTCAGAAGGATTAAAAACAAGAGAGGAGGACTCGAGTGGCACGAGCCTTCCTTTGAAGAAGAGATCATCAGAAGGGGAGAAGGAGAGGTTGGGGTCTGTTGGGTCACCGCTGGAGACAGACGACACTGTGAAGTTGAACTCCCGCTCTCCATCCGTTCCCGCCAAGTCACTGTCATCTTCGTCGCCACCTCCGCCATCTTCATTGTCATCTTCTTCGTCATTGTCGTGGTAATCTCCGCCTTCGCCTTCTTCATCATCAGGCACCGTGAATTCCAAGTCAAAGAAGGGACCTTCGTCGTCATCGTCATCGTCGGTTTCCACTTGCTGGCGCACGGCGGCATCACTAGTTGTGATGCTAGAGGTGGTGGGTGTGTTAGCAGCAGCTGGGCCTCCGCCAGCCAAGCCACTACCTCCACCTCTCCAGTACTTGAGCAAGCTGAAGGCTTCCATGGTTGGGAGAGCCAGAGCAAAAGGAGAACCGAGGACCGAGGGAGTTGGATTTTAGGGCTTTAGAGAGAGAGAGAGGGGTGGTAAAAAGCTAAAGGGGAAAAAGAGAGTTACGTTTAATGGTGCTGGCAGTACTGAATATGGTGTGACAGAGGAACAGAGAGCGTAAGACTTTGGCAGGAGAGAGAGAGAGAGAGAGAGAGAGGGCGGGTGCTCTTATTTTTGTTGTTTCGTCGTTACAGTTTTTTTAGGGTGTGCCGTATTCGTGGTTGCAGGGCAGTCATGTGAGGGGCTTTCTTCGCACGTCAGAGGGAATATCTGTGAGAAAGAGGAGAGAGAGAGAGGGAGGGAGGGGAGCTGTAGAGTGTAGAGGCATGTGGAAGGCAGTATTTCTGGTAGGCTACGAAGGTACAAACTACAGAGTACAGACCATACCCAGTAGTATATGAATGCGTATAGGAGGAGTTGTTTTCTTTTTCTGGGGTATTCGTTCGTCGCAGGAGACTGAGACTGGGAGAGGCGAAGCTTCCAAAAAGATGAGAAGACTGTAATCTCTCTCTCTAAAAAAAAGCAAACAAAGCTGCAGAAGGCTTGCAAACAGTAAACAATCAAAGAGAAACTACTCTCTCTGTCTCTAATCCTCCCGCGAGGAAGAGGAGAAAAGGGCAAATTTTTGGTGTCTCGAGCCACAGCGAGCCCTCGGGTTCGGCAACCGAAAGGAAGCCCCCATATGGCCATATTCCTATGCTACCGCTGCCGCAGCAAGCCTTTCCTGCCAAGTTAGAACCTTAAGCCCCTTTATGGCACGTGGCGCCACATGCGGAGATGCGATCCCATCTCACAAAAGATTTGACCTTCTTAGGTCAAATTCATCTTTTATCAAACATCCAAATTCCAATCTTTACCATTCCATGATTCAAACTCAAATCAAAATGATGGGTGTGAATGCAGTGTAAAAGTAAAATTACACCGATGGTGTTGTACATTTAGGCTGCAAAGTCACGTAAATTAAGAATGGATGTAAAATTTATATCTGTTCAGTTTTTTAGGTATTTCAAAGGAATGTATCAGTAAAACTTCATTTCGATTTAGTTTTGTGTGCGTTCGGATGGGTGGAGTTTTATATCATGACCAATGTAAAATCTTAAAAGTGCCACGTTAATAATCAATGTAAAATTTCACAACATTTTACACTAATTGAAGTTATAATTTTACATCAGTTTTCGATATTTAATTATATTCCATCCAAATGCCGATATAACCGGACCTAAGAGAGGCATTTCCTAAATCAGAACGGGGACCCACCTAACCAACCCCTCCCAAATGGTGTTTCAGAGTTGCAGTCCGTAACCCGACCTCAGCTCGGACAAGGAATGGGCCGGTGGTCAGTGGCAGCAGTCTCCTTTGGTCCTTTGAAGCGCTGAAACGAGGGTAGTAGGATCAAGGATGAGTGGTGAGGATCGAGGACGAGATTATTGTGTTTTAATAGCTTCATTCATTCATGCTTTATAGCATGATTTTTAAAACGGACGGGAGGCTGAACCGGTCAGAGGTCTGGTTACCGGGTTCAACCTGAATGGCCGGCCTATTCTGACAAAAAATAAAAAATGGTCAAAACCGTTCGAATGATTCAAATGGTTAACTGCTTGGGTCAGTGGCTTGCTGACCAAAATCAACGGTTTTTTGAGAAATCTCAGTTTTGGGGAAGAACGGAACCGATTACCTGACCGGTTCCTAGTTTTCTCGGTCCGTCTGTCCGGTTTTGAAAACCATGCTTTATAGACTTGACAAAAACTTGACCCAACCTGCAAACCCAACCCAATTCAATTTGAAAAAAACAGGGTTAGAGACTTATATTTAGCTATTCAAATTTTAGAATGATCCGACCGGACTCATTCCAAAAAAACATTAGGTTGGGTTGGGGTGGGCTATGGGTCAAGCTGTTAATCCGATTGTCATATCTAATTAGGATTATTTGTGCAATATTAAAAGTTTCGCTCTTTAATTTTTACTATTTAGTCTTTATACTTTAAATTTTTAAATGTTCAAGTTTTTTTTTGTTTTATTTTTGGAATTTTAATGTTAATTCCTTTAATTTTAACATTTTCATATATTTTTTCTTTATTTTTTAAAATTTTGATTATTTTTTGAGATGACCCAAATTGGCCATGGGTCAATCCTAACCCAAATTTATTCCGATTTAAAATCAACCCGTAATATCTTAACCCAACCCACCCAATCCAATTGCCAGGTCTAATGCTTTATTTAATTACTTTCAGTGGTAAAAGCTGGAGCGAGCGGGAGCAATGGAGGGAACATGTGGTTCCTTTTGACACTGTTCGGTTTTCCGTTTTTCTTCTTTAACCAAACAAAAACAAAAAAGCACTGCGTTTTCTATGGGGTGGTGAAAGTGTGAGACACAAAGTAATGCTTTGGGAGATAAATTAGCATTATTAAAGCTTCTTTTAAGTCAAAAAAGATCTGCTTTTGTTCTATTAAATGGGTCTGAAATTTTTCAAACTAATGAGATATCTCAACTACCTTTTCATCCATTGTTTACATTGTCATTTATGTCAACACAAAGTATGCAGAGATGATCTTTGGAACAAGTTTTCTATCAATTGATTTTGTTCATGAAATATAATATTAAGGTCATTTTTACTTCATTTTATTAATAGCATATAATATGTTGTTTGATAAATCTAAATTATGATGTATAAAAAGCCAAAAAGCTATCATTTGGATTTGAAATATAAAAGAAGTATAAATGGTTTTGTGCTTTTTAGAGGTTCTAGAAAGACAACATCATTTGAATTAGAGCACTTCTCTAACATAGCAATTCTCCAATGTTTGAAATTATGAAATTTATTATCTTACCCTTAAAAATAGACCATTTGATAATATTAAATAAAATATTATTACTTACTATTATTAAAAAAAATAACATTAATGAGGACATAACATCATTTCATAATCTCTGAAATGCATATGAAATCAGTTAAACTTGAGAGCATGTCAATTTGAATAGCAAGTATTTTAGACTATTACACACATGAAAAATGTTATCAAAGACGACCTCATTTTTTTTAGGTATTTGGGGATAGTCACCACTAATAATCCCCTCATTTTCGGAATCGAATCTGCATCTATGCTAGAATGAACCAACTAATAAATTTAATTCAATTCGAATGCAAATAATAAGTATATCAAATTTGGATCTACCTATATCCGATTTGATTCGATCCATACGTAGTTATGGCTCAATTTGGAAGGAGTACAAATACAAATGTATACAGTGCAAACAAATGCATACAAAATACAAGATTTTGTATTCTACAAATTTATATTTATACTCCTTCCAAACATAGCCTATATATCATTTACCCTAAATACAAATGTAAGACTTCCAAGTATTCCAGGCCCACTCCCTTGTGTCATGGCCCACCCAAACAAACCCTTTACTTTGAGACGAAAAGTCGGGCCCAGATTGAACCACGTGATTTAAGACAGACCTCCATTTAAGTCAATTTAAGGGCCATGTTGGAAGGACACAATTTAATCAGCTTTTATTATCTGTTTTTCTTTTACTCATTTTGGGTAGGCAATTTCAGCAGCTTATTAGCATCTGTTCAGCATTCCGGGTGAATAATCGTTAACCCCAAAACTTTGGCATTGGGGACACCAGGGCCCATCTCTTCACCAAACATGTCAGCTCCAACTTTCTCTGCTTCGAAATTCGGAAAAGCTGATAAACAACTGCTAGACAGTCCGAGTATTTCAGCAATTCCGAACACATCTCTAATGTATTCATCAACAAAATCATATGTATTGATGAATTCGCCCTTAATTGCTGAATGATGAGTCACAGCCATTTGAGTGATTATTTTGGTTCCAGACCTTCTACCAATCACATTGCTTCCTGTAAAAAGATGGGAGTAGTTGAATTTGATATAGTTGTTTTAGTGGTTGTGGTATTAATCATTTTGTTTGGAGTAGACACAAATGCAAGTGAGAGATTAAGGGTGGAATGAAAAAAATATTGTTGTGAATCAAATAATTTTTTTCTTAAAAAATGATTTTTTTTCAGATACCATCATTTTCATTTTTAAAAACTGTATTAGGAGTCATAAACTGCCAGCCTAGGTCTCCAAAATCGTTGGCATAGATATTTTACCAGTGGATGACCAACAGTCAAAGTTTGTCGGTATAAAGTTATAGTGGTGGTTTTGTATACCTGGCTTGGCAGTTTACGACCATTGGCATAGAATTTCTTTAAAATGAAAATGAGTAAGATGGGGCATGATTATGTTTCATGCTACAGGATACCTCAGTTTTTATGCTATGAGCAGATTTTTCATTCTGAAAAGAATAAGGCCCATGGCAAGAATTTTGTAAACAAACACTTTAATATTATTCAATCTCGCCAATTCTTGCTCAAAATGAGAAAGAATTAAAAAAAAAATATGAGGCCTAGAGTAGAGAATCAGACATTGCCCGAGTCATGGACGCGGCAGTCGTGTTTGGAATGTACAGCTTATGGTCATGTTTGAACTTTGAAGCAATGTTGCCACCAAGATCCAGTCATCCTAGCACGATAGTATGTCAAGTTTCAACATTTGTAATTGGAAAAGAGGGCATATTTGCATTAAGATCCAGTCATGTTTGAAGCAATGAGCTTGCATCATGTGACTAAATTCCTAAGTATTTACTTGGAGGCAACCTCCTGGCAATTTGACGAAATATTTCAAGTACTAACATTGATATTTATTGTATCATGATACCAAACATACCCTTTATTCTTCAAAATTTTTATTATATGACAACAATCCCTAAATTTTAGGTTGTATTTGGCATGGCACGAGTGAACACACCAGTTTTTTATAGCACTACAACAAAATCTTAGCTTATTTTCAATCATAAAAAAATGGCATTTCTTGAATGGCCATGGTGATCATAAATAACCAAAATGATGTGGCAAATTCTAAGTTGAGGAGTTTGGATTTTCTCCTCAAAAAATTGTAGGGATGCAAATGGATCGGATCGGATTATATATGAATCTGATCCGACACTGTTAATTATAGATCCGATCTGATTGGATCTGATAGATATGCGTTTGAATCCGAATCCGAATCCGGTCAGGAAGTTGGATATTCAGATTTTACCCGATCCAATTTA